CAGATCGAGATCACCTAATCACAGCACTTATCTCCATCTTTGTTCTTCAGTTTGAACCCAGAATCAACATGATGGCAACTTTTGGCTGATTTTCATTAACCAAGTTTATTCTACAAAATCCAACAAATTAGCCTCAAGTCTCTGCATTTCTGTGCAATGATTAACTACCAGGTGCACTATGAGGGAACCTTTATGCGTGGGTTTGTAGACAGGCTTGTCTGTTTGGATAAAGACAGCTGTGCCCTTGCTCTCCACTGTGACGGTGGTGTAGTTATGGAAGATGTAACCTCCCTCTGTAAGGTGACGGTTCCCCCACACCTTCAAATGGGCCTGGCCTCTTAGCCCAGAGGGAACCTGGTGGCGCACACACACACACACACACACACACACACACACACATACACACACACACACACACATAAGCATAAACACACACAAAAGAAAACACAAAGAGGATCAGGGCTAGATTTAGCTATTTTGAAATGTTTACTCTAGGTTGTTGTACACAAATCAAAATCATTCACCTTGATTCAATATTTACATGGAACAAAAGCTATAGAATAAGAAAAGAACTAAATTTAAACACCAGAGGAAGATGCCAAGCTATAACACAGCACACTACACATGACTGTATTTCATGAGAATGAGGGTGGAGGTTACAGGGAGGGGAGAGAGAGAAAGAGAAAGAGAGAGAGAGAGACAGAGGGGAAGAATCGAGTTGTGTATACTAGATTGATCTATTCCAGCCTTCGGGGGCGGCGGACCATACATGCACGTCAACAGCTGTTGCATATTATATTGAGGCTGTTACCTTATTCCCAATGAATGAGCAGAGACAGATGTTGCATTACAAATGATGTTAGTGTTGATTTGCATGTTGCCTGAGGAATGTGCACACAACAGACAAGGGACTCTCACTACTGTGCAGCTGTCACCGCTAAATAGCGCCATGCATTTTAAACATCTCTGGAAAGCAGCATGCATAGACTGTAGGAAAGTGCTGAGAAAAACAAATGCAAACTAAGCTGAACACACAGATAGACTCACCTTTAGTCTGATGGTGCCTTTGTCTAAAATAGAGACAATGAGACATTTTAATGTAAGAAATTTGATATCTTCTGTCAGTACTATTTAGTTATATTTCAGTTGTCAGAAATCTGTATAAACATCTGTATGATACTATTAATATCCAGTCGCGAGGGCCTCTACAGCAGAAAATCCAGCTGCAAACTGTCTCTGTGCCATTCTGAGGTAGAGCTAGCACCATCTATTAATGGTGCTGTCAAACAAATCACACACTGTATACACTAAGTGGCAGGTGGGATGGGCCGAACTGATGCCTTTAATCAAATATGAAAACCATAGGTGGTCAGGAGCGCGCAGTGAAGGCAGAGGTCATTCATGCTCACATCGTGTGTATTCTTCCATCTATTTTATGATATGTTTTTGCCAGCATGCCTGCCTGTGTGATCTAAACACCCTTTGAATAAATCACACAAAAGGGGGTGTCTCATAGCTCAACTTGTTAGTGCAAGTTTTCTTTCCAAAAGTGATGCATTGTGCCAGTGTAACCTTAGCTTCAGAATTTGTTCTCACCGAGCACTGAGCAGTGGCTGTGGGCAACCGTCTGTCCCTTCACCGACAGCTGCACCTGGACGCGTGTTTCTGCTTTCGCATTAAAGATGGTTACGCTCACGCTCTCCTCTACGCCTGCTCGAAACACAGAGGGTGCAGCAACCAAGTAACCCCTGAGAGAAGAGCAAGGTGGAGAAAGGGGAGATGGAGAAGGATAAAAAAGAAGGGAAGGCAGGGGGAGGGAGGTGAGATGAAAGGAGAGCAGAGGACATAAGAGCACAGAGAGGAGGAGAGGTGGTGGCAGGAGATAAAGTAGAGGTCAGAGAACAAAGGGACATGAGGAGTTACATGTGTGCTGCAGTCATACAGGTGAACTAAACATAAAGTCAGTCACCCCCCCCCCCCACGTTGTTTCTCACTTTCTCCCTGGCCCGCATGCACATCCACATGCACGCACGCATACGACACAAAACACACACACAGACAGGGACATTCCACATGGATTGGTGCAGCGACATCAGGTTTAATTGCAGTGGTTACCAGGGACACAGTACCTGTCGGACTATAAGCTTTTCTGCTCTAGTGTGCTCTTTGGGTGGTCCGGTACCTCTGACAGAACCTCTTCGTCTGTTTTGAAAAATAACGACTGAGATTCCACACACTCACTCTGACATTTAATTGAGGGAAGGAGCCTGTCACTGAGGTCACACAGAAAGGGTCATTCTCTGATAATTATCAACAATGCGGAGGGAGAAAGTTTCCAATTTAAGTTTTATTTGGAGGAAAGAATATGCCATCTGGCGCTCAGAGGCTATATCTGTCAGGTAACAAAGATAGAATAATAGGTGCTCTTGTTAGCATGGTCCGATATAACTAAATCGGTAGTGTGGTTTGTTGGGGGTTAAGTTGACATAAGTATCCACCAAATGATTAGTTGCGTTTGAGTATCATTCAGTTACTTACATTGTCAGCATGTGTTGATTTGAGAAAAGCAGACCCAGTCCCACATTGATTATGCCACCCACATGTGGCAGACTATGTACCTGAAGGAATACAAGCCTAAATATCTCCCTGTTTATTTCAGTCCTGACCCACTCATTCCAACTCAACTGTTTAAGGAAAATAGGCCTACTAACACCCTGAAAACCTAACTGAAGATCACACAAATTAGGAGTGAGCAAAGCCTCAAGCACAAACCCAATTGCATGCCTGAGAGAAGGATCAGGTGGTTGGCATTACCGCACTACAGCATTACAGCCGGAGGCAAGTGCAGATCCGGAGAGAAAAAGTCATGAGAAAATCCCCTAGAAAATAAGGCTTCGGGAGAAGGAAGATAATACGAGGAAATTGACTCTGTGCGTTTGATCTACAGTGAGTTTAACCAGCTCTTGGATGAGCCCGGATCAGGTGGTGGAGACTGTACTGTTATTTCAGTCACATGGCTTGATGTACTCAAGCTCTCATTGTTTTTGCCCAACTTTTGTTCAGCTGAGAGCTGGTCAGTGCCTGATAAGGATTTGTGTTCTCTTTTGTAGGTGAAACCTTAAAACAGTCCGTTCTTTTTAACTCAAGTCACATGGTTTAATGTTCTTAGCCTTTAGCTTGCCCAAATTTCACCCTAGGCTGAGCTGTTTAATACATGACAATGATTTAAGCTCTTTTGTGAATTAAGCCTGCGTTTGTCAGTAATTCAGTAAGTTTTGTGAGTTCACTACATAGAGCCCCACTGGACAACCTTGGGAAGAGCAAACTCTTTACTAACAACATAACTATCAAGGTCAGGATTAAGCTCCCAAGCAGCTGAAAGTAGCCTGACTGATGGCATCAAAGAGCCAAAAGTCAATTTTACTTTTTTCACCACTGAGTCAGGAGGGATAAACTGAATAAAATTGGCTACTGCCAAACCCATGAATTTACCAAAAATAGTTCAACCTATTATTTCAACTGGCCTAAGACAACCTCTGAACAAGCTGGATATATTCCAGCCATGGCCTAGAACAACAAAATCAGCAGTGCAGACTGCCTTTAATATATCGCTTAAACTGCTTGCAGGTCCAATAGCACAGCAGTGAATGAAAAACTATGAATGGCAAGGTTGTGATAGTACATTCATGTCATTATCTGTAATGACATGAAAACCTCATATTCACAAACAATGACAATAAGGACAGTAGTAGACCATATAGCCTACACTTTAATGATCAAGATGCTTGCTGCATAGTTTAATTAAATGGCTACTGTAGCTATGACCGCAGGTCACGTAAATTGAATAATCAGCCTTTTCCCATTTTATCTTAAACTTTGTGGCTGGGTTTAATGTTTTATATATTGCAATGCCCGTTTGAGAGCATCGGAAATGCGTGTGGTGAGTTTAAAAGCACAGCACTACACTCCAAAGACAACACATGCAACACAGGCTACTTACTGTCTTTCTTGTGCATACGCTCTGCTCACGTTGCAGATGAACAAAGTCCATGAAAGACTCAAAGCTGTCAAAGACACCCGCAACATTTTGGCCACAGCAGCCGAAATAATGCTGGTATATCGGTTGTCTCCTTTGAAGGAGGTTGGATCTTCCAACTCTTAATGAAAAGTTAAATGAAAGTTTAACTGTCTGTGTCTACAGCCCCCTCCGTCTATCTATCCATTGAGGCTGGTTGGCGTGAAAGGTGTGCAGAGCTTCGTCAACTTTTTGTAATCATCCCACTTCGCCAAATCCAGTTCCAAGCAAATCGTGTTGGGTTTTTTTTTTTCGTCTTTTAGAGCCCAGAGTACACGGACAGTCCTCTCCCATGTGCCTTCACCCGCCCCGGTTCAGTTCTCTCATATTTCAGCATTTCAAATTGTAAGCGTCCACCCACTTCAGCGAGCAGAAATGTCACTGTAAAGAAATGTTTGATAGGTGAAAATCCGTGTAACCTCGCGTCCCAGATTGTTCCCGGTAATCTCTTTCAAGTCCTTTTTCTCTCTGCTCAGCCACACAGTCAGGGAGCGATTGGTATCGAGCTGCGCTCCATTCACTTCTATACCTCGTCTCACTTGTGTGCTGCGAGAGCATGACTAACCCCAGCGCGAGGAACGCACGGAGCCCGCAGTTTGAACCACTACAAATTACCTGCACATTTCACATACTTTTGGTTCAGTTGACAGCTCAAAAGAACAGATCGACCAGCTACAACCAGTTAATTTTGCGTTGGGAAAACATCACAAGACTGCCGAGCTGGATAATACAGTTAAAAAAACAAAAACACCCCACCACACACAAAAGAAACACTTGAGGCAGGGTTATCTACATTTTACTCACTTACTTTTGTACTCATTGGAGTGAGTTAATGCCCTCTGCAGATAAATGCTGCCCTCAAGTGGTAAATGAGCTTAGATGCACTGAAGTCTCTCAGAGTTCAGATAAAAAACAAAGGCATTTCTCTTCTAGGTAACAAAATTTTATTGAAATGCTTCTGAGGAGCTGCATTGATGAGAATAAACGAACAGTGATGCACAGTACTTTTTCCAGGAGGTGTTCTGAAATACTTGACAAAAACACAATATGGCATAAACATAATATTTAAACTATTAATATAACCAGTTAACAGTAACAATTTAAGAAGTAATTCACATCTTAAAGTAATTCACAGACCAAGTCCATGATGAGCATGTAAAAGCACATTCAGAACCAAGAGGGAACTTTTTTCCCCCTGAGTTCAGCCTCTCTTAGGTAGAGCATGGCACAAAATTAGCTCAACAACCCTGAACCTTGAGTTTAACATTATGTAAAGTATTTTATTGGTAAAACATACTGGCGTTGAGCATCCTACAAGGAAGCCCCAAGGCTCAAATCCAATAACAAGAATAGAAAGATAAAACCACTTAATTACAAGACAGCTGCACTGCTGAAGTGTCCTTAAACAAGACTTTAAACCCCTGCCAGCTGCACAGTGATTGCAGAGTTGTACAGGGACTGGAGCAAGCATACACTTTCCCTGTGAAAACCAATAAAGCAACACATTACTTGTATTATTGAGCCACTCCTCCTATTTGTCTCAAGCACAACCGTGAATTACGTTCCCAATACTGAGGTCTCTCTGTTTCTCAGCCACTATGTTGTGATACAGTTTGCAGTGCAGTTTCCCTTGTTCAGGCTCAGTGAAAGCAGCCTTGGAGAACACCACTTGGTTGTCCTTGTTAACCTCCACTCCGTGCGCCTGACAGAGTCGAGCTGTGAGTGACGTGTCTAAGGACAAGAGCCGAGCCAGTCTGTCAAGAGGAAAGCGACAGTTGCGGCTGCTGAATCCGTGGCTGTATATAAGCAGCAGATCTCTACGACACGCCACCAGATGACGGTGCAGTGCACAGCTCTGCAGGAAGTTTAACCTCTGAGACAATCGGAACAAACACACAGGGTTTCGCTCCAGAAAAGCTCTGTTGATGGAAAGAGCGAGTGTGATGGCAGGAGAGCTGCGGAGTCGCCCAGGGAGCTCCATGATGTGCTGCGTGGCCCGAGCTGAACCTGGGGGCAATGATGAAAAACAAAGCAAGCGTGAAGAAATGATCCTTTAAGTTGTAAGGATACCTGACGAACCTTGAGTATATATTTCAAAAGCAGGATTATTTATTCTGCCGGGGTGACACTCTTTATTGCCAATAACTGGACATACAGTGGGGAGAACAAGTATTTGATACACTGCTCAGGTTTTCCTACTTACAAAGCATGTAGAGGTCTGTAACTTTAGGTACACTTCAACTGTGAGACAGAATCTAAAAGAAAAATCACATTGTATGATTTTTAAATAATTAATTTGCTTTTTATTGCATGACATAAGTATTTGATACATCAGAAAAGCAGAACTTAATATTTGGTACAAAAACCTTTGTTTGCAATTTCAGGGATCATACGTTTCCTGTAGTTTTTGACCAGGTTTGCATGCACTGCAGCAGGGATTTTGGCCCACTCCTCCATACAGACCTTCTCCAGATCCTTCAGGTTTCGGGTCTGTCGCTGGGCAATACGGACTTTCAGCTCCCTCCAAAGATTTTCTATTGGGTTCAGGTCTGGAGACTGGCTAGGCCACTCCAGGACCTTGAGATGCTTCTTAGTTGCCCTGGCTGTGTGTTTCGGGTTGTCGTCATGCTGTTAGACCCAGCCACCACCCATCTTCAATGCTCTTACTGAGGGAAGGAGGTTGTTGGCCAAGATCTCACGATACATGGCCCCATCCATCCTCCTCTCAATACAGAGCAGTCATCCTGTCCCCTTTGCAGAAAAGCATCCCCAAAGAATGATGTTTCCACCTCCATGTTTCACGGTTGGGATGGTGTTCTTGGAGGTTGTACTCATCCTTCTTCCTCCAAACACAGCGAGTGGAGTTTAGACCATAAAGCTCCATTTTGTCTCAGCAGACCACATGACCTTCTCCCATTCCTCCTCTGGATCATCCAGATGGTCATTGGCAAACTTCAGACGGGCCTGGACATGCGCTGGCTTGAGCAGGGGGACCTTGCGTGCACTGCAGGATTTTAATCCATGAAGGCGTAGTGTGTTACTAATGGTTTTCTCTGAGACTGTGGTCCCAGCTCTCTTCAGGTCATTGACCAGGTCCTGCCGTGTAGTTCTGGGCTGATCCCTCATCTTCCTCATGATAACTGACGCCCCACGAGGTGAGATCTTGCATGGAGCCCCAGATCAAGGGAGATTGACCTGATTGTCCTGTAGCCCATGCCAGCCTTGTGCAGGTCTACAATTTTATCCCTGATGTCCTTACACAGCTATCCGGTCTTGGCCATTGTGGAGAGGTTGGAGTCTGTTTGGGTGTGTGGACAGGTGTCTTTTATACAGGTAACGAGTTCAAACAGGTGCAGTTAATACAGGTAATGAGTGGAGAACAGGAGGGCTTCTTAAAGAAGAACTAACAGGTCTGTGAGAGCCAGAATTCTTACTGGTTGGTAGGTGATCAAATACTTGTGTCATGCAATAAAATGCAAATTAATTATTTAAAAATTATACAATGTGATTTTCTGGATTTTTGTTTTAGATTCCGTCTCTCACAGTTGAAGTGTACCTATGATAAAAATGACAGACCTCTACATGCTTTGTAAGTAGGAAAACCTGCAAAATCAGCAGTGTAACAAATACTTGTTCTCCCCACTGTAGATGCAAAAACACCAAAACAAAAACTCTTTCAAGTATTAAACTATTAAACACTGCAACCAACCCAAGTTGTACAGCAGACCGAGAGCCTGGAACTCTTCTTGGTTGGGATGTGGCCCTGTTCCAGTTGCGTAGCAATCCAACAGCCAACTCAGATTCTCCTGTAGGTGCGTGTCGTTAATGCGTGGGTCGTAGAGCCGCAGGGGCTCACCACAGAGCCGATAAGAGGCGTAGATGAAGAAACGCACCGTGCGCTCTAAAATGGCCACACAGTTTGACCCAGACACCCTCTGGATGATCATGTCCTGCTTCACACCTCGAAGCCGATCAAAGACGAAGCTGTACACCTGGAAGACAGTTAAATTGTAATAAAACAATTTGTTATGAATTTGTGGCAGCAACTTCAATGTTACAGTGGGTTACTGGGCTAGTAAGAAAATTAAGCCTTCAGCCTTGATCCTTAAATTGTAACGTGTCACCTTAATTTTTCTGCAAAATATATTCATAATATTTCTATGGCCACTGAAGGTTTTGTTGGTTTGTTAGCCACACAGCTTGTTCTTGTGAAAAAGTAAAAATGCACACAAGCTGAACAACTGCACAGTGCTTCTAAAGGCCTAATATTTACTTGCTATATATATGGTATATGGTCACTTAGGGCCATTTTGATACACACAAGAATAGGTTCCTGGACATGTGTGTTGATTTGGAGGATGTGTAAATAAAGCTGTTCGGGCTAACTGCCTGTGTGTTAATAACTATAATATAAAATAAAATATAACTGATGTTTCAACTGTCTTTAAGGGTGTGTGTAGATAATGCCAAAAGTTTCAATTCTAAGTGAATAACTCCCTTAATATATGGATTTACAGTTTCTCTTGACCAAATTCAAATGAACAATTGTAATAATGTGTAAATTCTACTAGCCTCCGTCCAAGGTTCAGGATGAGGGGAGGCAGCGATGTCATCAATAAGGTAACAGACAGTTTTCAGCAACACTGCAGGTGGACGAAGGTCAGGGGGGTTCGTTGAGTCTTTCCCAGCTGCTGGTCTGGAATACTCTTTGACAGCACGCAAGGAGTCTCCCCTGGGCCGTCGATCTCTTTCTGTGCCGGCTAACATCTCGAAACGGTGAAGGCGGCACTGCGCCTCACGGTCCCGCAGCTCACGAGCGGGGCACATGGTCTGGCAGGTCCCCCTGGGCAAGGTTTCTTTGACCTGTTGCTCACGTCTCTCATTCTCCTCCACCTCCCTCCCCTGTGTTTTGCCTTGGCCTCGCCATTGCGCTTCATTCCTCTGTCTCCATTCCCCTCCTGCTGGTGCACCCCTCCTCTGAGAATGAGAGCTGCTTGAGGGAAACAGGTTTCAGGTGTTTTTTAGCTGAAAACGTAGTCAGATAAGAATCACATACAAGCACACACAAGAGCAGCGTCTTCTCTTGTGTGGCGGCATTCACACCTCACAACCTGCTATACCCACTGACCCATAGCAAATGTAATACTCAACTCTGCTCTGACTGAATATGGTAGACTTTTTTTCTGTAGATATGGATATTTCTTTGAGATTGAGAAGTGTGCCAAATGTTTTCTTAACCCCCTGTTCTTAGTATATTGGAACGTTATTTCATTGACACTGTTGTTTTCACATTTAGCTTATGAAAGTACAGCTACCTATACATCTTTGTAATTTTGAGTGAAGTTCGTGTTTGTTAGTTGCATTTTGTTCTTCCAAACTTTAATGTTAGTCCATGTCCTTTCTTTAACGAAACTGAATCTAAAATACCGAACCTTTATCGTCGCTGCCATGATAGCTTTATCTGACCTTTGTTATTGAGCTGCACTGTCTAAAAGTGATGCAAAAAAGGACATACAGCAACGTTTTACCAGTTGTTAGTAAGTGAGCTGGTAACCACCATAACATTCTAGTAATTGTGGCTCTTACGTACATCAGCTAGCTAGCTAGAAGTTGTGGTGACGTCTGACCTAACGTTAACGTTAGTCAGTAACTTAGCTAGCTACGACAGTTAGCCAACTACCAACGACAGATAACGCCCGAATGGCGTTTCTATTCAACAATACTTAACTTACACGATACCAGCTGTCAACATGCAATAAAAGACTTGGCTTTGGAAACCATTTTCGACTAAATGCTTAATATATGGGATATAAAAACACATGTACTCACACACGACGATGCCCTCTCCCGCGGTTCATTGGTCTTTCAGAAAAGACAGCTCGTCACTTTCCGCCATCATCCAATGAAACCGTGTTGTTTTGATATGACGTCACATCCGGGATTGGCCGTGATGGTTTGAGGGGCATGAATTTAAATTAAATTAAATGATGTATATTATTAGGTGCGTTTGACTTAATGCGGCGCTGCGCAGCGCTAACTTAACGTGATGCATGCTGGACTTAAAATAAGGCATATCATAAATAAGCCAGGGAGGTCAAGGATTTTCAAAAAAAAAAAAAAAAAGTATAATTTTAACAAAGGCAAAACAATTTTTTTAATAAATATCTTGTAAAGCTTATAGAGGTCATATGATTTAACAGCTTTTTTGTTTGTACACTCAGATATTGAAAGAACATAGTGCTTAATGTTAGCAGCAAGCTCCAGAAAGGTTGGTTTCTTTTTTAAGAATTTTTGACTTGTGCAAATAAAATTTGGTTAAAACAATAAGCAAATTTACCACATTATACTCTGAACATAAATTTTTGTCATGTTTACTGAATCCAAACAATTCATTTTCCCACCGCATTGCAAATTGAGGGTAAATATGGACAACAATAAACTGAGACATTTTGCTCCAAAGTTTCTTGGTGTGTGGGCAAGACCAAAATAAATGCACCAGCATTTTGTTTAGTTCTTCACAGAAAGTACAGCTGATGTCCAAGTCCTTTTTCAGTTTTTGCAGGTAATAGTTAGTGGGGTAAAACCTGTGAAGCATTTTGAATGAGATCTCTTTGACTTTGGTTAAAACTTTTCCCCAACAAATCTCTCCAACAAATGAGGACCAATATGATACAGCAATACTCCTAAAGTCCTGTTGAAAAAGTTGACGAATTGCCTTATTCTTACTTTTAGGTTGCAGCGAAAAACAGAAATTCCCAACAGTTGTTTCCTTCGCATCCACCAGTGTTGGGGATCATCAAAAAAGACTTTCGCCGGCGCTGCAAAACGTCACCACGTCACATGACATTACAACCTCGCGGGAGCAAGGCGGTCGCAGTTGCTTTTCCCCGGCTGCACCAAGTTGGAACCACACTTTTGCCTAGTCTCGCGGAATTTTTCTTTGCAAATGACGCGAGATCAGTCATTGATCTCAGCTCACAGTAAGCTCGCGCAGGTAGAATGTGTCCGACTTGACAGCGCCGTTTTTATACCCCGCCCCTGCAGTCACCTGCACCGTTTCCCAGCATGTACAAAACTAACCTCAGTTTGCGCCTCGTTCGTTTATTACAATAAAATGTAAACTACAGGCACAAACTGAGAAGAGAAGAACACATTCATAAAACTGGACTTCACACTGCTCCTAAATCAGATGATTATTAATTTGTGGTAGTTTTCTAAATGAGCCAACATGAATCTAATGTGCATTTAAACTTGGCCATGCCTTCTGTATTAACTTACGTATTCAGTTTGCCTGAAGTAAGACCCATTCAGATTTACGTTTTTTGTGCAACTGTTTAACACAAACTGTTACAAACTTATTGATATGTCCACATTGACTTTTATTGCTTTATGTTCAATTTATTAACAATGGTCCATACACAGTATCACTCATCCAAAATTTACAATATGACATCATACAGATGCAAATAAATCGCAGTAAAAAAACAAAACAAAACAAGACACAAAATGGTAACAATATACAAAAAAACTGGGGGAAATCAGGGGTGGAGGAGTATCCAAAGTGCATGTACTGTGTATCCCATGCCAAGTGGCATCTTTCACTTTTTGGGGCAGTAGAGCTCAAGGGTTCTTGCAGTGCCAAGCTGTTCTTCCTCTGCGGCTTGCTGGACATGGACTGTTTGGCGGCTGACCAATGAGGACAGCTCCAGCAGCTCTGAAAATGCACTATGGAAATGGAAAAAACACCAATGTTTAAGTGCAACCACGTCAAAGTAAGGATGCAATTTTTATGTGCTACTGAATACTTGCCAGGGCTCACTCCTTTAAAAATAAAAGTAACAAAGTGATAAAGTAGTATAAAAGTCTTGTTTCCACCTTATAACATGAATCTCTCTTTAAAAAGGATATTGTCATGAACAATTTATGTAAAAGCAGTCATGTCATACAGTAAACTTTGGCAAGGAACTAAAGCAGAATAAATCAAAAAGCTGACAGTGAGGAGACTGTGTTCTCAGCAGTTCTCTATATAGGTGCCTACCCTGATAGCTGCTGACTGATGTCCTTTGATGTCATTTTCATGTCCCTAAGGCACTCTAGAGAAGTGCTGTTGTCCTTACGATCTCCCTCTGTGCACTCCACCAGCAACTTCTCAGTCTCCTTCAGGCACGTCTCTGCTTTATCTAAAATGGGTAGACACGGGTGGATACAATTATTCTAACATTTATCATAACTTTCTGTAAAATATAATGTAATAAATCAATTGTGTAACAAATTGTCAAAATCCAGAAGCAAGTTGATTAAAATGAAATTTCTTAGGTGAAGACCCTGAAAACTTTTTCTTCTATAACCAATAAGTTCCTACAACACACCAATTTCCACCCAAAGTCAGAATAATACAGGTTATTTACATTAGCAACTCATGTATTTGTTTAGTCTGTGTTCCTCTCACTGGTTTGAGCTGGGCAGGACTGATTATATACACATTTCCATGCACCCACCAATTTAAATTTTCCATTGTCGGAATCAGTATCAGATTGTAGTTTAAGTTGTTAACTTATCCACACTACTGTGTTTTCGAATTAAAACAGAGACCTTTTGCTACGTTTGCTCCTCCCGTCCAGACTACAACGGCGAAAACGAAGACCTAAAACAGAGAAGTTTAGAAACGCTGCCGACCGCGTTTTGCGTTTCAAAAGTCCGGAGGGCGTTTTAGTGAAGACGGGCCAAAACGGAGGACTTTAGAAATGATGATGCAGCCGCTCCTGCTCGGCTCTCTGTTGTCATGCAAAGCAGAAACAAGGTGCTACTGACCGGGTTTTTGACATGGTATTTTTATTAAAATATTATGTACCGTGCAAATATTACTTATCTGCCTACACTTGTACTGTGCATGTCGCCATATTTACTTTGCAACGACTCCCCAGTCTGTTTTCCGCCGCCACACTCCTGTGATAATTCAGTAACAGTCCCAGCTCCTTATTGGTGCATGCAAAAAAAAAAAACGTTGTCTGTATTTATTTTTTCTTTCGCCAAATCTTCTGTAACCAGGAAGAGACCATCTGCTTCATGTTTACACCGGCAAGTGCATGGCCCACGGCCAATAGATGCGTTTTCAGTCGTTTTAATGTAGACGGAGATCAACTCCAAAACGCAGCTAAAACGCTGGTGTGGACGCAGACCGTATTTGTTTTAATTCTCCGTTTGTAAACTAAAACGGAGTAGTGTGGATGGGGCCTTATATTGCCAGGAGCAGTCTGAACAAAACATTTACACACGGCCCTGATGAAGCAGATTAGCTGAGGCGTTCGAATGTTAAACTAATTCATTTAGGAGTAATAAAGCTGTTCTGTGTAACTTTAACATTTTAATCACTTCTAAAAGATAGTAACAACAACCTAGAAATTCCCCCGTGTCCCCGTCAATGTAGAAATTCTTGACAGGCAGTTCATGTCGGGTGGCGTCAACAGCGGTAGCAAAAGACTTGTAGTCCTTTGTGAAGTGCTCAACAGCTTCTGCCACAGGGGTCAGTGCAGCAATCTAACGGAAAATAATCTTAGGATTAAAATCATGTGCTCACACTATTTAATACACAAACAAATGATACAATTTTGACATTTGAAAATACAATTCCAAAAAAACTTTTTAACCAGCTATTTTGATTGAACCTTCTTATCAAAAAGCATTGATGTGTCAATGGAGCATAAGTATGGAAGAGTAGTAAAGTGTCACCAGCGATAAATGTCTCATTTTTGTGTTACATATTCTGCCATACATTATTACGTAATATTCAGCTACGTTTGCTGCCGTTTGGCAAGGTGGTGACATTCACATGATGTCTGTCATTATAATTAGGAGCAATTAGATTGGCGAAAAGAAAGGAAATTCATGTTCTTCTTTCACATAGCTATTTCATGCATGCAATAGTTGTATTTTTATTAAACAGGCCACATATTCAAAAGGTCACTACAAAAAGTAGGTTGTTTCCTGACCTGCAAATCTACCAGTTCATTCACCAGCCTTTTCTTCTCCATGAGGAGGAACTGGCGCTTCTTGGCTTGGACCTCATTATACAGCACCTCTTCTTCCTCCATCATCTGCAGGATCCTTGCCTCTGCCTCAGCCATATACTTCATGGTGTTGCTCTCCATCTTAAGTCAAAGATCAAAGATAAAGAGCCAGATGATTCACAGCACAGGACTCTGATGTGAAGTTTATTACCCACAGAAGACAGTGGACAAGTCATTAAAAAGTACTGAGATGATAGTGTTTTATCTAAAGATGTAAGCATTCACGGATTTAACAAAGCAGATACATTGAAAGCAGATTACAGCACTTATGTTAGACTTACTCACCTTAGCTGTGAGGTAGGCCAGTTGGAATGTTTGCATCTCAATCTCTGCAATTTTCTCCGGTTCTACTGCATTTTCAATCACTGTATTTTCTTAGAGAGACAGATGAAATATGTTACAGGATACCCCCATGTGTAAATAACTTTAGTATTTCAGGGTTGAATTTACCTTTAATGACTGAAATATCAAAATCTGGTTCAAAGCAGTGTCCATCTGAGAAAGTGGACTGCAGAATACGTTTCCCTAGCAGTGATGGCTGGCTTTCATTTGACATCATTGCTGTGAGGAAGATAACATGAAACAAGGAACAATTATTCATAGTTCCCATTTAGACAGTGTTACAGACTTAAATCAGAACACATGGGGAAATAAGTTTTTTAAAAAAGATCTTGCACCGCCAGGATTCACCGCAGGCCAGGGTATTAATTGAATCAACCAAAATCATCCACAATACAAAAAGTATCAACAACATAGCCTTTACACCTGAAAAAAATACCTTCTTTAAAGCTGTAAAGTACATTAAAGTTAACACGATTACTGCAAGGGCACACTAAAGTTACCATAATCAATGCAAATATACACATTCACAATTATTACCACAGGAAGTACTTACATGCTGCTAGTGCCTGTGGGACCATTGAGCGTCTTGGTGGAGTGCCCACCTTTGGTTTGACACCGCTGGGTTTAGGTGAGGAAGGCCTTGGTGGCACAGCAATAGATTCATTGGTGAGCGAGTTACTCTGTTAACAGTTACAGGGGTGCAATGACATACAGATGCGGAATGTCAAAAATGTGACAACATACAGAAAGAAATCAAAACACAAGTGCATAGACACAAGGGAGGCAGAAGAAAAATATAGTGAACTAATTATTTAAAATGTTCACTGAATATTATACAGTATATATATATATACACACATATACAGCAGTTAGGCCCATACCCTAAGTAACAATACCTAATGTAGTTGGATCACAACAAGTGAAACACATAGTTTACATGAAATTAGGAGGAGGGGTGGGGGGATAGCATTACCTTTGAAAGAGATATCTTCTCAGCAGCCTGCATATATCGAGACTTGACAAAAGTCCCACTTGCTAAAGGAAAACATATAAACAAAAACTGAAGTTTAGTTAACCATAGTTGAACTCACTGATGCATGTCTCATATCTTTTGAAAAAAACGGTGACATTTAATTTAAGAATTCCACCATGGTCCAAAGAAGCGAGTCAAGATGAGTGCATTTACAACAAATGTCTTGCTAAGTAATTTGTCATAATAAATACTACACTTTAGGTTGGCAGCACAAAGCAGTATCTATCATCAGTTTTGAAGTAAAATGAGCGAACAGAAAAGAATATTACAGAAATGTTTTAAGATGTTTTCTATCTACACTTTATTACTTTTCTGCTGTAACAACTTTTCACCATTGGAAGATTATAATCAAACCATTTCAAACTGATTTTAGGTTGGCGTGTCACTATAAAGTAATCCTTGTAACGTTAGTGGAACTTCGGTAACATATTTTCTATGACTTAAGTGACAACACGAACAATTCATTACGCCCGCAGACTCATGCTTTGTGAATACTTACATTTAACATTCTTCTTCGCGTTTCCACTGTTGTTTGCTTTATTAGCATTGCTCCCACTTTTGAAAAACAAGCAAAACAGTAGCTGTCAAATGCCATAATGTATGAGAGCACAAGTTGCAAAAGAAATGTTGACTGTTTTACCCGAATCTAAGCTAATGTTAGCTTAGCTAACTTAAGTTACGTTAAGTTACTTTGTTACGTTAGTTTACAAGCATATAGATGTTCATTTACTTGCTTTTATAGCCTCTTTACTTATTAGCCACATGCCTGGTCCAGCAGTGTGAAAAGTTTCACGTTAAGCTTCAGCCAAATGAAAGAACATAACCGTTAACGGTGTAAGTTAACGTTAGCATCAAATTCTTCTCAAATTAACCTGGCCACAAACCAGCGAAATCCAGACACTCGCTCAAAATAAAAAGAAAACACGACAAGGACTACCTTTTAGCGTCGTTGGTGGCATTTTTAGAACTACTTGGCACTTTTGTTGTTCTTCTCGACGCCATAATGTTTTGAAGAAACCCGCCTCCCGTTTCGTAAACCGGAATAGTGATTTTTTTTCTTCTTCTTCTTCTTCGGATTTTTACGGCAGCTGGCATCTATTGAGTTGCATTACTGCCACCTTCAGGTTTTATTTACCCTTTGCTTCCATTCATACTACATCTGCCTATCTAATCCGGTCGCCCTCAGAAAACTAAATATCCATTTCCTACCCTCCACACTTTCTCCATACTCCAATAAACCTTTTACTGTATTATCTATCCGTCCTATTTTTGTTAACTGTGTTATCATTTCTTGTCTTTCCTGAGTAAATTTCCTGCATGTTATAAGAATATGTTCTACTGTTTCAGCCTCCTGACATTGTTCACACATTCCTGTAGGATGTTTTCCTGTAATTAAAAGTGTGCTGTTAAGATTGCTATGCCCAATTCTCAGCCTACTTATTATCACCTGCCCTTTCCTCTTTGCTCCCCTACTTCTTGATATACCTACTTTGCTTTGGATTTCGTGTAAATGTCTCTCTTTTATTGCATTTTCCCAGCTCTGTTGCCATTGTTGATTTACACTTCTCCACACTATGCCTTTCCCCTCTGATTTTGATAATTTAATGTTGACTTCAACATCACCTTTTTTAACTGCTTCTTTTGCCACCTTATCTGCTTTCTCATTTCCCTGAATTCCCGAGTGTGCAGGGACCCACAGAAATATGACATTTTCCCCCTGCCTAGCTATTCTTGAATTCATAAATAAGACTTCATTAAGCAAGTCCAGGTGACTTCTAGTTGTGCATGTGCAAGAGCTGACACAGAGTCACTACATATTAATATTTCCTTATCACTAATTTGTTCTGTCCATTCCAACGCCATCAATATGGCAAACAGTTCAACTGCAAACACACTCAGACCATCAGATGTTATTGTGCTAAAGTGATTTTTTTTTCCTTCTTCTTCTTTGGATTTAACTGGCGGTTGGCAACCAGCGTTTAGGTGCATTACCGCTACCTACCGGACTGGAGTGTGGAACAGATGATTTGCAGACTAACGTACTTGAAAAAATAAATAAATAAACAGAAACCAATTTAAAAAAACAAAAAAACAAACAAAGAAAGAAACCAACAACTATATCCTCTCCATTAATCCTGTATGCTTCAGATATTTATTGAGGTGCTTAGTTATTCCCAATGCTTTATCCCTAAGGAGGTTCTTTGACAGTAGCTTTTTCTACAACTGCTGCTGTTTTCTCCTCGCCTTCACATAGCCCCTGCACTCAGCCTGCACATGCTGAATTGTCTCTAAACTAAAACATTTTGCACAGTGTCCAGTTTGGTGTTTACCTATTTTATGAAAGTGGTTAAGCCCTGTGTGTCCAATCCTTAGACGGGTAATGACTGTCTCTGTCTTTCGGCATCCACCCAGCTTTCTCCCAAGACCTAAATGATTCTGGATACTGTAAAGATGTCTTCCAGTTTCATTTAGTTCCCAGTAGCCTATTCTTGCCATGTTTTTGCATTTTCTCTTTAATGAATTTGCATGTCAACTGACTTTGATTTGAGTGCTTGTTTTGCCGGAAAATCAGCATCTTCATTTCCCTCAACCCCTACATGGGCAGGAACCCAAACAAAGCAGACAGTCAATCCCTTATCATACATTCTACACAGAGGAAGATGGATATTAAATACCTGATCCAGCCTACAGTACAGATTTAATGAGCGCTGCCCTGCTATCTGATGCAATGACCACCTTGCCTTCATTATTTTTTTCTACCCAATGCAACACTATCAAAATGGCTATAAGCTCAACTGTATATACTGACAGATGATCTGGGTTGTTCTGGATGTTCTCTTTTAATGCCTATTTTGTATTCTGGGATATAGATGGCAGCTCCTGTCTGTCCGATCTCTGGATCTTTAGAGCCATCAGTAAACACCATGCGGCTATATACAGTACATAGTGCTGCTCTATGTAACTTTCTGCTATTCTTCCTAAGTGTGCTTGCTTGGATTTCTTTTTGATTATTTGCTGTATATTCAGGTCAATGGATGGATTTACAAATAACCATTTAGGAATATCTGAATATGGGACTGTTGGACTATATTTTACGCTGCACAGGCCAAGGCTTTCTGCTTTTGCATTCCCTGCCCATCCAAAACTGAAACAGTTACTTTTACTGTGTTCCCAACACTCTTCTAAGATGGCTTTAATAGGGTGAAAGCTATAGTGTCCCTGAAGATTGACCCAGTATGTTAACATCATTCTTCTTATCCTTAGTGGCTGTTCCCCCATTCCCACCTGCGTGGCAGCCACTGGAGTGGTCTTAAATGCTCCACTGCACGTCCTTAAAGCTCGCGCCTGTTCCGCATCTAGTTTTTTAAGATGGCGTTCTGCTGCTGACATATATCTGAGTATATATAGTGTAGATCTCATCAAGTCCTGATATGATATGATGTTATAGTGCCCCCCAGTCCTTTCCTGATAGACATCTTAAAAGGTTTTAAATTTGTTTTGGCCTTATCGGTGTGCTGTTTCCAGTTCAACTTCTCATCAAACAACACTCCTAAAACTCTGACAACTTTGACTTGTTGACTTGGATCAAGAAAGGAACCACCTCTCTAGCCCAACCTCCCCGCACAATTCCTTTGTTCAATAAACTGTGTTTACCCCTGCTGAGATCTGCTTTTTGGTCTTTTCTCAGCCAGGAGTTTTGTGACCCCTGGAAAAACATCACTTGAGTCTTTGCAATCAACACCTTAACACCCCACTTATTTGCCAACTGTTCCACCGCAACAATTGCTGCCTGTAATTTATTCTGAATAAATTTCAAATTCTGTCCTCCTACCTAATAGGGCCCCGTCGTCCACATAGAAGGACTACTTCTTTCAACTTTTTCAAATATATCATTGATCATGATGTTAAATAGCACTGGACTACACACACTGCCTATTGGAGTACCATTTTCAACTTTATAAAGTCTCGAATATTCTGTGCCCACCCTGACCTCTACTGCCCTGTCAAATAAAAAGTCTAATACCCAGTTGTACAGTCTACCACCTACACCTAATTTATTTTATTTAATAAGTAGCCCTTCCTTCCATGTGTCGTACGCTTTTTAATTATCAAAAAAGGACGGCTACAACCACCTCCGCATTTGTCTGAGCTTATTTGAAATCAGATTCCAAATATAAAATAGGGTTCATTGTATTTCTCCCTTTCCGAAACCCACTTTGATATGGTGAGTAAAAATCTTTGCTTCCTAGAAAGAATGTTGATCTGTATGATGCTCCATTGTTTTCCCTAATTGTGACGTCAGTGCTATTGGTCTATAACTTGGGGGTCTGATGGATCTTTACAATAATGACACTTTATAATGACATTATCATGTCTTGATATTCAGATGTTCAGTTTATGAAGACAGATGTCTTTATTTGGAGAGGCTGTCGGTTGAGAGTGGTTTTCCTTCTAACCTTGTCAAAATGACACCTACTTATACGTTAACATGATCCCTGATTCTGACTTTTTAATATAACTCTTTTACCTGTGTCCATTACATAGTTGTTAGTTTTGCATTACTTGTGATTTAGTAAAGATTTTTGCTTCATTTCGCCTCTCTTCTTCTGCGGCTGTGCTTTCTTGCTCGTACAGGGCGTAGACATAATGATATGAACACCTGTACAATATAGCTAAAACAATCTTCAGTCAGGGTGTTGTCTTATTTGATGAGACTGCAACAGAGAGGGACTGATTGATGTGCACTGGACTATTGCATTAAATTGTAGGGGTGTTCATAATATTGTATAGTGGGCCCCATTCAAAAATATAAGTTAGAGCAGCGAGAAAGAATGCAACATCTGCTCTGTATTCACTTCAGGGGAAGGCAAAAACTACAGTTGTTCTAGTAACCACTAGATGGGTGTAAGGGTCTGTATTCACTGTCAGTGTAAACACACATTCAGTGACAATCATTTAAAGTTAAATATACTTTAAGTCTGTACAGAGTGTGACTCTTTTTCATGCGTCAACTGACAGTAAAATCATTATACGTTTTTTCATATTGTTTCATTAATTTATTCTTATTATCAATGTCATGTGGTGGTGGAGTCAATCCCAGCCAACAATATATGGTAGAATGGCTGTGTGAACACTAAGCAAGTAATCAGACCATCACAAGGATAACAGAGATGCATCCAAGTACTTTAAAGAATCCAGTCCACTTCAGTTGCATGTCTGTTGAACACATTAACATGTATTTTTTTGCTGTTCTAAGCCAGTGGGGATGATCACCACTCATGTGCATCTACCTGCATGTCTGCACCTTCATCCTGTGTGTGTGTGTGTGTGTGTGTGTGCGTGTGTGTTTTGTGTGTGTGTGTGTGGGGGGGGGGGGGGGTAAGTTCTCTTACCTGCCGTTTACTGGTGGTTTGTGTGCACGAGTCTTAACGAACATAATGGGTGCTGATCCCACCTGTCTGAGCTGGTCTCGGACAACAGGAAGGACAATGGGAAGAGAGTGGGCGTCGGTCCGGGTGGTAAATACTGGCCAGCAACTTCTTTCCTAAGTCACTTCCGCAGACATGGATGGAGAAACCACTGGGGATAGAGACAGAAAAAATACTGTTTGCTTGTAAGTGGGCATCCAAAACTTTAAAATGTAAGCAATTCCGCAGTGAGAATTTTACTGTCTCCTATAGTATCCCATAATAGTATGTTAAAATATTAACAGTTGTTGCATTAGATTTTTAGAAGTGCTGGATAACATCCAGGTACTGAAACTAGTTTTATTCTGACCTTTCCTCTTTAATGAATTTTCATGATAAAGGTTGAACATTTGAGGTTGGCACTACAACAAATCTCTCACAAATACATGCCTGTATTTGTAAGTGTGAGTGCCAAGCATGTGATGAGTGTGTGTCCTACTTTATCAGTGTGTGTAAAGGCCGGGTCTTATCATTGCTGTCCTCTCTCTCTCTCTCGGTGTAATAAAGCCTTGAGGCTGGCTGCTGTGTGTCCGTGTGCTGGCTGTCCATCTCTCACCACCAAGCAATGCCAGGACCAAACAGCTTTGAG